TAAATTTTAATTCAACTTGCTTATCTTCAATATAAAAATGCATATCATTCACTAATGAATCATTCTTTAATAAAGGATTGGTTATAAAAGGATTCTTTGAGAAAAGACTTTCCAATCTTCCATCAGTCGAACAATTTCCTTCTAGTAAGAATGAATTACGTTTAGAATCCAAAGGAACAAATCTAACAACTTTTGATATTTGTTGAACGATAGAAGGTTCTGATTTAAATTGAAAAGAAGGTCTTTTTCCAATAATAATTCTAGTAGAATTAAAAGATAATCCATAATTTAAAGAGCAATTACTAAACAAAATTGGAAGATTTAAAATATTATTATTAGAGACCCAATTATTTATCTTTAGACATTGATGAGTTTCAGGAACTTTATCGATTAGTTGTTTGCTAAACTGATCATAATTAATATTGTGTAAATTAAAAACAGGTTTCAGCTTTACTTTCATTTGTTGACTAAATTGATTGAAAAGCGGCACAACTTTATCATAGGAAATGATCTTGACATATTCGAAACTAAACACTCTTTTTAAGAAAAATTCCTTATAATAGTAATAAAAATGATTATAAATTAATTCAATTAATTACTGTAGTTGATTATTTTTTAACGCAATGATTTAAATGGGTTTAAAAAATATTTTATAAACATACCAATTCATCAAGATCATTGATATAAGTTCCATTTGCATCTTCAATTTTAAAATTAAAATTTCTAGAAGTTGAAATTTTAAAAGGATTTGGACATGACCATTGCGCTGAATCTATTGTCCATGAAATTTGAGCTTTAATATTTTCCAAATCTTTAAAATTACTAGAATTATTTATATCAAAATCTCTAATTATAATAGACCCTCCTAGTGTAGCATCTAATACTAAAAATTGTTTGCATAACTTTTTAAGTTTAGTCATTTTTTGAGGATTTTGCGGGTTATCAATTGCACTTTGGACTAAAGAGGTAATATATGGAGCAAGAGTTCCATTATGAGAAATTTTTGCAACTGGAAAAAGTATTTTAATATCATTTATCGAAATTTCACTTTCATCATTAATTTCAAATAATGATGATTTATTAATTAATTGTTCATATTCATTAATGAATAATTTCCAATTTGAATTGATCACTTTACGATTAGATTCTGTTGCTTTGTTAAGATTATTGTCATACATGTAGACTAAAGGTAAATTATTTTCTATAGGATATTCAAAATTACAATCATCACTTTTAAACATTCTTTCCGTTGACTCAAAACATTTATCTTTATAGTAATACCCATAATCAAGTTTAAAACGATCAATTAAAATTTGTTTATCTGTTTGTAGTAAAGATATTTGGGCAGGGGAATTTGATTTCATTTGTAAATTTATAGGCGCAGGTTGCTTGGGAGGTGATTCAGAATAAAGATTTAAACCATATGATGTTTGTGACTTATTTGATTCGGTATTTTGTATATTTATAATAGGTTGTGAGATACTTTGCGAACTTGCTGTAGATTGTCTACCAGAACTATATCCACTATCTACCGTACTAAATGAACCATGCTTTTTTGGTGGATAGTATGAACTTATCATCTTATCTAGTGACGATTTAATATAACTAACTGAAGGGCGATCTAAAGGAGAATCACTCCAAGCTTTTTCGTAAAGTACTTGATATTCTGCAGGTGTATCAGGAATTGGTAATTCTCTTCTGCCTGTTAGCAAATAGGAGGTGATTTCTGAAATACTAATATTTTTGAATGGAATACGACCGCTTGATATTTCCCAGAGTAACATTCCAAAGCTATAAACATCTGAAGCTTTGTCCAGAACATAAGTATTGTCATTTAAAAGTTGTGGTTCTGTATATGCGGGTATTAGTTCAGTTTCATGGAAGCAACTTAAAATTCCAAAATCAGTAATTATCATATTTTTATCATGAACCAATATATTTTTCGAATGCTATATTATTATATATTATTCGAGAGTTAGATCCAAAAATTATGAAAACTTTGCAATTTGTAGAAAATTTTGACAAAAAAAAAATCTTACCAAACGCTTATGAATAATATTATGATCATGAATATAACCAAGTCCGTTTGCTATCTGCCTGGCCATCAACATTTTTACAGGCCATTCAAGCGATTGAAAGTTATCAAAAAGGTATTCTCTAAGATTTCCTTGATTACAATATGCCAATACTATGTAAAAATTTTTCAAAGAATCTTTATACAGTAAAAAAAAAGGAAATTAATGAATTTAATTAATACGGTATACAGTATAACGTTTCAATTTTTATAATCATTAAAATTTTTTTTCGGACGAATATTAAATATTTTAATTATTTATATACAACAGTAATTTTACAAATACAATACCTTGACATGACCCCAAAAATCGAATAACATTGTTATGAGAAAATTCAGAGTTCAATTTTATGTACTTTTTACAGTATTTATAAAAAAAAAAAATTTATATGATTCATTAATACAATTATTTCTAATAAATATTCATAATTAAATTCATACCTCTTTAACAAATTTCGTATAGTTTTTATCATTCACATTTTCTGAATAATAGTGGACATTAGAAATCCTCTTTAATATAGTAAAACTTTTAGTTTTATCATTCCATACTTTGGTTATCTCATGAGAAGGTTTTGTAGAAATTTTATGAATATAAGTAAATGATTTATAACTAATTGGTTTAATATCACCAGAACTAATTGCTCGTTGTAAGAATGATAACATTTTGAAAATAAAATAATACGTGTACTGTACGTTTGAAATAATAGAGAATAAGAAAGAAATGATATTCATAAAAATATCCAATAAAAAGTTAATGATAGTTTGTGAGACATATGTGTTAAGAACACAATTTATGTGACATCACTGTCCTCCGTACGTACAGTATATAAGTATGGAATGTTCGGTTTTTTAAGAATTAATGATAGTTAAATTTTTTTTCTGTGTGCAAACTGATACAAATAAATTATATGAGGTTACGGCGTTTCGGCTCTGTATTTCCGGAATTGTTTGTACGCATGATATTAAATGAAAAAAACTTTAATAGAATTATAAACAACGATCATAATAAAGGAGTCAATAAATGAGTGCACCGTATAGTAACTTTTAGTTTTAGTATAAATAAGTAAAAAAAAATTTTTTTTTATAACCTTGATATCCTATTTACATTATTTCAAAAGATGGAAATGCAAAAAGTCGCAATTATTGTTAATAAACAAATTCGAGCCAAATATAGGCATCTAAAACCTCATTCATTACTTAAAGAAATTCGTGAACTTTTATCACATATGTTAGAAGATGAATTATTATTAATGAATGATTCGGCAATTTTCTTTGAAGACTTGAATGGAAATAAAATCGATAAATCTCAAGAAAATTCAATCCATTTACGAGACATACTTCTTTATGGTTATATTTTAAATATTATTGTGGAAAAACATGATGCGAGTGAACTTATCTATAGGTTAAGATTAGAGCATGGATTTAATATATCTAAAATGGGCCCCAATAAATCTAATTATAAATTAGTAAATTACAAAGGACTCTGTAAATTTAAATTATATAATAAGAACGTTAATTATTACGAGACTTGTGACAATGAATATAAAGATCTTTATGTAAAAAATCACATAATTGAAGGAGGTATCACTACATTTTTACCATGGTCAAAGTTTTTTGTTGGTTTTAAATCACAATCAGCAACCGCTACTAGGAGTGGTCATAAAAATTCTACAAAATATAAAATTTTCGATCGTATAAGAGCAGAATTTACTGTAGATGAATGTGATGTTGAACCAACTGATCATTTTATAAGTGAAGTAATTGATGCGTTAAAAGGTCCTAAAGATAAACAACGAGAAAATTTAATAGAAATCACAAAAAAATTTGGAGAATACTGGGCACAGAGTGTATATCTGGGAGGATTTGCATTACAAACGCTTAATGCTAGTGATTCTCACAATATATCCCAAACAAATAGAGGTCAAACAATCGGTGGAAGTAGCAATGAACTATTATTATCCAACACCGGATTTGATCCTTATACTGGCTTTGGATTTGAAAATAGTCAAGGAAATATTGCTTCTGGATCAAGAACAACACAAATTCAGAATTTAAATTGGTTTGGTGGTGATGAAAGTATCAATATTTCTTGTGAAGAAGATCTTAATGTGTGGACTAAATCAATTAAGCAAAAAAATTGGAATGTTGTCAAATATATTAAAGTTGTATCAATTTTTGAACTTTTAAACAATGAATTGCGTAATCAAGTACTTCGTGCTTTTGGTAAAACAATTTTTTATTCCAAGGTCGATTCTTTGAATTTCATATTTGACTTGTCAAAGATGGAACCTTACGCTTACGAACTAAGTATACCAAAAAATCTTCCGAGCGCAGATTATCAAGTATTTGCTATGATCATGAGTAAATCTAAGCAAGATGATGTTTTTGGAATGCGTATCGTGTACGAAAACAATAAAAAACCAGTTATTCTTCTTCATAGAATTGGCACTAAGACAAAATTCAAATCACGCAGAAAACAATATTCACTGGAGATTGGATGGGTTGTTATTGGTTATCCAAGCAAATTTGATTTTGGAAAATATAGAATTGAGAGGAGCTTAGTTAGCGAAAAAGTAGACATAGATCTTCAAGGTAGTTCTATCAAAAGTATACCTATTCCTCATACGTATCAAAAAAATTCATGTAGCCTCTTAGGAATATGTACATTGCGTTTAGGTAATAATAATGTTTATGACTATAGACGATCTACTATAGTAACTGCGCAGCACTTTCACGATAAAACTAGTGGTTTAGGTTCATGCATATTTGTTCATGATTTGTATAAGCGAAAGTATATTAACATTGTACAAGAACTTGAAAATCTTACTTTTGAATACAGGTATTTATCCATTTTACATTACTATCATAAGAATTATTTATTTACTATCATAAATGTTTGTATAATTTAGCATAATTAATGATCAAGAAAATTCAAAACATGTTGTCGTCACATGGGATAAATCGGTACTTTCTAGAGCAAAAATTCTTTCTGGTACTATCAAAAACTCAAATTTGAATTTGAACCATCCTAACTTCTTGACCTTATTATATGATGATGATGGTTATTGCAATTGTTCAAATGAGTTTGTTAATATATGTCCTGATTGTGTAATGCTAAGATCATTAAGTGAATTTAATCAACAGAACAGTCTCGCAATTTATTACTGCCCGACAGATGACGCCTAAATCCAACAACAATAATAATAGCGTTAATTTCCATAAATTAATGAGTAGAGTGAATTTTAGATATCATATCGTAATAACATGCAGCATTCTGACTATAAACATAAATGCCATGATTTTTTAGGCGATTAGCGTATATCAGAATTTACAGCACTGTTCGATAGTGAATGACTGACTACGTATATAGAACACGTGCTATTTGGTGTGGATGTGCAGAGTAGAATGGTCGCGTCAGATTAACATATAAAATTAGGATGTAAGTTAGATGGAAGTGTTGTCAGTCAACAGACTTGGGGAGGAATGGGCTGTTGGAAAAAAATATTCTGATTGTCCGTAAATATTCTGTTGGAGATAGGTAGTGAATTTTTGGATAAATAATTTATGATGTGTTATAATACACTTAATGTATATATTTCTTAAAATTTT